AAAAAATCGATTTTTTGACCTTTGACCTTGGAATATCTGTAGTCGCAGACACCCTACGATAAGTAGGTTTTGAGACAAGTTTTAGGGTGTTGAAATATACGGTTTATAAAAGTTTGTAGCCGACTATCTTCTCATTCCGAGATTCATGCCAAAATATGACTAATTTGCCTGGACTAGGAAAAGATTCACGTTCTATTGTCTTTCGAGGAACGTTCCTTCGATATTGTATTTTGATTATGCGTATGCAAAGGATATCACTATTCACGCAAATCATCCGAGATAGGAAGAAAGTAGACTCGATTCCATTTCAAGTGCGGCACCTTTTTGAAAGTCATTGTGCCAATAGAATTATAAATATATATATATATATAGGTAGGAGACAGTTTAATTACGTCACGTCGCATCGATGAACTTTCCTTCGGTGCACGAGACTAACGTCATTTTGAATAATCGAGAGAGCTAGTCACGTAAGAAAATTCTTAGAAGAAAGATATATGTGCGTGCGTGCATATGCGTATATGTAAACTTTACATATGATTAGAAAATCAGGGAAAGTTTAATTATTCTTCAACGAGTCGTATTTGTTAATTCGCTTTTATTTAAATTCGTTACTTTCACTTTCTCTCTTGTCAAATGTTATTTAAATATTTAAACATATATATACTGACAGAAACTTTTCTTCGTGTTTTTCTTTTCGTCTCATCGAACAATTGATTTCATTTTTATTTTCACAATAATTAAAACGTAAATATTTATTTTGATTTAAATAACGCTCGCTAATGTCCACGCAACGTCACGTGACGAATTATTTTGAATTTCAAATGATCGCATCGATAACGAGTTACGCATTTGTAAAGTATTATTCATAAAAAATCGCGTGATTAATCGTACTGTTTATCGTTTCCACAACATTTTCGTTAAAATTGTCAATATGAGTCAATGGAGTCAATTTATTTCCGGCCGTACCTACGTATGTTCGTTCGTTCGTTTGTTCGTTTTTCTTTTTCGAATCAAAAAACCACGATCGTGTTAATCTCGTACACATTATCGAACAATTTCGTTGGAGAACAGGTCTTGCGTACTAATCAGTTCGTCAAACCATGTCATCGATCGCACAAAAGACTACTATAAATAATTATTCGCACGATATTATTTTGTGTAAAATATTTTTTTCAAAAGAATATTTTTTTCTTTACCCGTAAAGAAAAATATATAAATAATATTTTGTTAAGAAAAGTTCAAGTTAAGTCATCATGATCTATATATCTATCTATATATTAAATCAATTCGAATTTAGAGATAGATATATAATTACTTATATATACAGAGAGTCTCCTAAAAGTTACTAGACCTTTTAAAAATATAATAATTCTTTTATGTATTAAAAATTAACGTTTGTTCTTTTATAAACAATAAATGTACTTCTTGGAATTAGCTATTATTTTGTACTATGTTGTTCCATTATCTCTCGTAATACTCTAGTGACTATTGGATCACCCTGTATATCTAGATACTATATATTAAGTAGAATAACAGAGTTACAATTAAACTTTTTTGGGATGATTCAGACTAGTTATTTCGGAGAAATTCGAAAAAAGTACTCTATTATAATTTGACGTTGATTTATCGTGCAAAAAGCTCATAAAAGTTTATTTCGAACGTACTCCTTCGTTTCTTTTTGAATTTCCGAATTTAAAATCATCTTCTTTAATCATTTTTTATCTTTTCGAGAAATAAGGTAACAAAAAGAAAAACTCATGTAAAAAATAGAATAAGAGATAGATTCCTTTATCGATCTTCTTTTATCTACACTAAAATTTGATTTCTTGATGATAAATCAATAATATTATGTGACTCGTTGAACTAAAGGCCTTCTTTATTGTCTTTCTCTGTCCTATTTGAGGTCGCCGCTTGTGTAA